CGGATCATTTTCATATAATTAAAATTCATTTTTATTTCATTAAAAAAATTAATTTTCGTATTTTGATAAAATATTCCTCCAGTAAAATGGATTTTGGCAAATTGGCATTTCGATCAAGTAACTTTCGGTAATATGACATTTCGATCAAGTAGTTTTGTAATACGAGTTAAACAAAATGGACTTCGGTAACTAATACCTATAGTGTAAATTTTATTGATTTGAAAAAACTACAAAGTTCTGAAATATTCCAGTTCTTAATTGCAGTAAATGAACTTAATATCCAATCTCACTCTAATCTCTTGTATTATTCATAGATACTTTGAAAGAATAAGTCTATTAATAATAAACAAAATAAAGCATGATCTGCATTAGCCGTACGATAATATGGATATTGTACATTAAAAAAGGTGTGATTGTGAGTTTTTTGCAACAGAATAGAAATTCTTGAACAACTTATCAACATAAGTAATTTACTTATGGATTTGTGGAATTATTTTAATTAATGTTTGAGAAAATTTTTCAAGAAGCTAAAATTGTATTTTATTCTGGAGTTGCTTTTAAAACGGGATAATTTGGATTTGGATGAAATTATTATTTGGAATAGGTTATTAAGACGGAGTTTCGCATAAAATACTTCTATTTCACAAGATGTCATAAAATTGGACAAAGATGAATTTCAATCGCCTAGACTATCGAAGGTTTATTATTAACTTCAGTTAAAACTCAAGATCACTACAAATGATAGTTTTTATTCATATTTACAAATAGAACAAAGTTCAAGTTGTTGAAAAGTAAATTAATACATCATTTTATATACATAATATAAAACATCGGCGTTGGATACGTAATTCTTTATTGTTAAATTAAGGGATGCCGTTGATCAGATTTTCGTGATGCGATCATATTAATGTAATTTTTCCCAAAAGGTCGATCCTCCAAATTGTATAAAAAGGTGATGTCCCGGTTAACGAATCCTTTTGTCTACCTCATGCAAGTAAAATAAAAATCAAACAAAACTAACTAATTAAACCAATCTAGCTTACCATTATTTACTGTACATCATCAATATCATTAATCAAATGAACTCGTATATTCTGCAAAGTAATAATAAGGTAAGATGGTTTATTGTTCGGCTAGCTTCTTGAAACTTGTCATCACGATGTTAATCAATCTTCCTATAGATGTTCCAAAATAAAAACGGACATTTTACCTTCTTGTTATATATCGGCATGCCGAGAAAATCTCAGACTATCATCACGCGCAGTGAAATTATTCACATGAAACTCGTCACATGCAACGGCACAGCAAAAGTCTTCACGTGCAGAATTCTGCGCAGTGTCGTAGTGCAGAAGAAATTAAGTAATCGATTCCTTGTATATGAGGTGGATTGGAATATTATGAAAATTAAGTAAATTGGTAAGTTTAATCGAGAAATATTGCATCGCTTATTTTCTTTAACTCATTGCTAATCTCCAGAATTTACGCAGTAGTTTTGAAATTACTTAATCTCTGGGAAGTTCTCTTGCGGAAATTGGCTAAAATCGATAGTTTCTTTATAATTTATGCGAGTGATATAAATGGGCAAACATTCTGTATATATGGGTGGATTATTTATTTCGAATATCTATTGTTGAAAAGGCCGAGAATCTCGTAGTTAGCTATAGAGAAATAAATTAGTTATAGATATTTTTCGAAAATGTGAGAGAGCAAAGAAATAAATATGATGCTGGGACTCGCATTTCATATGTTTCTCTTATTTCTCTAGCACTTGTTCAAAAAAAAATTCAATATCAGATATCTGTTGATGCAATAATTCAACAAAAAAGTTAATTCATATTAGTCATATTGTGTATTGGATCGATATTTCTGCTATGCATTTTTTTAACCAAAAAGACGCAAATAAAGTAGAGAAAGTTCTTTCAACAATAACAGAAAATAAAGAAAAAGTTGACTACTTGAGGGGATATATCGGATATGTCAAATCAAGAGGTAAGCCAATTTCTTTTTGACGTGAACATTGTCTCATAGAAAACGAAAGAGACTTGTAATGGAATTAAATACGAAAAAGAAAAAATAAGAGATGTCATTTTCAAACTCTTTTTGATGCAACTACCTACAGCCTTTCTCGCTTGTGGAAAGTATATAACCCGACACGTGTTAGAGTATTATGGTTAACTCTCCAGACGTGACCTTTCAATTGATACACCGCCGACCGCTGGCCGATGATAAAGAGTGTGAAAAATTACAAACTTAAGGGTATTATCAAAGGGTATGCCTGAAATATCAAATGTCAATAGTGTCCCACTTACGCAATTAGATAATAACTATGTCATAGCTGGGAAAAAATTTCTTGATGGAAAAGCTCCATATATTTGTGCTAACATCACATACAGTAGAAGTTATAGGAGAAATAAAACCTTTAGGTTCTTGCTTCAATTCTACTTATCGGGACAAGTTTTACATTATGCTACTCTAACACTGAAGCAATAAAGGAAATTACAGGGTTCCTAACTGATTGTAGTGAAGAAAGTAAAACACCATACAAGATATCATTTTCTGACCAAATAAGCCTTAGCAACCAAATAACTACAAAGTATTTACAAGCACTTCTCAGTTTGATATATTGCCATCCCATGTCAGGTATTTTGATGACCTAATATCATCTCTGCAGTATGCACTTTTTAATTTTGTAATTTTATGACTTTCAGGACTGGGTGCACAATTAGAGACTTGATTGCATCTACATCAAATTCTACCACATTTGTGTCATTGGTGATATAAACTCCATTGTCAAAGTTATTAGAAATGTGAAAATGAAATATAAATATTAAATAAGCTTCAAAGCCATACTACTGACGAGAGAATTATAAAGCTCGTCAAATCATCAAACACTGCGTTAATGTTACAACCACAAGCAATTGGATTGTTCAAACTTCAAAGAATCTCACGAGCCTGTGTCAAAACTGGGGGATGTTGTGGATATGTCATCAAAATAATATAGTACATGGCGATGTACGATTGAATAATATTCTTATTTACAATGGCAGGCTTATCTTAGCTGATTTTAGGTGTAGTTTGTGTGCAGGAAATGTAAGTGTTCTTCTGGAAGTCAGTTATGATTTATATTATTACTAATTTGTTTATAAATTTCAGAATTGGAATTTCTGTGGTCTGGCATTGCCATTTCACTCATTACAATTGATGGAAGCTATAAAAGCTGAGCGACCAATTGTTAAGTTTTAAGATGACTTATTTACGCTTGTTCAATCCATTTACATTCGCTTAAATGAGAATCAAGTACTTGAAGCTAATATAAATACTTCAAATAAAGTAGATGAAGCTATTGAATTCTGGAGGGGAGTGTTTGCGGATGGGATTTGGAAGAACATATGTAATTGCTGTATAAATTTGAATTATAATAATTTGAAGGGATATATCAAGCAGCTTGCTTGAAATACTTATTTAAAAATACTAACTACTAGCTTATAAGTTAAGGAAAAGGAAGTGTAGTAAAAATATATAAAATATATAGCTAATAATGTAAAAATTCAATAATTTTCACATTAAATAATATTCCCGCTATATTGCATTATAAAATATTTATTGATTTTCGCTAAAATTAATGGTAATTTTTACAAAAAAGTCATTCAGGATGGGTGGATGATAAAATGGGTACAGAATCCCAAATATTATTTTAATAGTAAAGTAAATCTCAACCATAGATTTTTTTGTCAAATTTTTGGTAATATTTTTTGTCCTAGTGCTTATGTTATTTAAATGGTTTTAGAGTGTCTTCTTGCATTACATAAAATCTTTGGTATACTAGAATAAGAGCTATACTTTTTTTACTTAATTGGTGATATATAAAAAGTCTTACCAAAGCTGATTTTCGGTGACTTTTTGACCTTTGCTAGATGGAAATGAATCACTTTTAAGAATTAATTCTAGGATATCATGAAAATATGGTATGCTTTTTAGGCTTGAATAAGTCGAAAATTGAATATAATCTCACTTCGTTTGATTATATTCAATGTTTCTTTCAGAGGCAACCAGTATGACATACATTTTTCGATTTATTATTTGGAATTAAAATTGGGCTAGAAAGGCTATAATAGATGGTTTTATTCTTGGTATCCTATGCTTATTTCTAAGCCAATTTGATACCAGAAATTTTCGTATAGCAAAATTTGAGCCTGGCACAATTTTAAGCATTGAATTATATATTATGGATTCTTATTAGCTAGAAAGCTTCGGAAATATTATTGGAAGCTTTTCTGGATACCTTCGGAAAATTTTGTCCTAGAACTCACATTTTGCCCCTACTATTGGCGTATAATAGATATAAATCATACCAAAAGGTGAAAAAGCTCTGTTAACTTTGCAACCGAACTCCGAATGACAACAATCATATGATGACGATCTATTACTACAGAGAGTTTCTTTTTGTTTTTCTAAATATGGAATTCAACAGAGAATCAAATTCTAGTAATACAATGATAGGAATTAAATACTGAATTTAAAAAACTGTCCGTTGCCTTCTAATATTGGCAATAAGAGAAAGTATGCTAAATTTGTTTGAAAAATGACTTGAAATGACACAATTGACACATGATTACAAATGATGTGTCATTTTAATACTCGAATGACGAACTATGATGAGTCATTTGCAAGACGTATCATGTGAGTTTATACACGTGATACCGCAAATCAGAACTCATTTTGCCCCTACCACTATAAAGATGACAGTTGAAGACTTTTTCCTTCGAATTTTTTTTTAAAAAAAAGAAAATTTAAATCCTCTTTTTATACGATATTTAAAAATCGTTCATTATTATTTTTTTATTAAAATTTTCGTGTTAAATCTTTCTTTGTATACTTTGTATGTCCTTTCTTGTAAGAATAAATTCAATTAATTATTACAACCAGATTTTATTGTAATATTATTAATTGTGAAATATATAATTTTTTCATTGTTCTAATAATAACGTTTATACAGCATTATGGATAGTACTTGTTCATTTTATGATCAACAATCATCTACTATAAATTATTCTCAACCTGTCTCCGCTCGTCCCAATCAAAACGCGCCAACACGTGATTTTTATTATGAAATTCAACAACAAAAAAATCTAATCTGCTTCTTAAAGTTTTATCATTTTTCATCAAATGATGATAATTTTTATCTTGTTAATTGTAAAATCATTTCACAAGAAGACACTCTCGATAGTCATGATCGCCATAGTCACGAATTCTTTTACCAGCATCCAAGCGATCCCTCAACAAGATATCATGTTACTTGTAAATTACTCTCAAGTTCTTTAGTAGAAAACGTTTTGAACGATGAAATTTGTGAAATGGATTTTGATATGCGAGTATTATCCATACATCAAAAGTTACATCTCGAACAAAGCTTGAAGCAAAAACTTTACTATCGAGTGTATTGTAGAAATACATACTCACTTGATATTGGGAATCATGTAATAGTAACACCAATGGCAGATATTCAAAACTATAGTTACAATGATTTGCCAGGCAGTGACCATTTTATAAATGGATCGGAGAGCACTTACATTCAACCGCAGCAACAAGTTGATTTCAATAATTTCACAAATTATCAAAATCATCAAAATAGTTTCAACCCCTCTTTAATCTAAGTTTAATTACAATTTTATATGTTTATATAGAAAATTTAAAAACGTATACTAATGCGAATAAATTATTGAATATAAATTTGTGTTAATTAATATTATATATTTTGTTTCTAGAATCTAGAAAAATCACTTATAACTATATTTATTTATAGAATTATAGCTTTTGAAAAAAAAATGGTTTAACGCTAATTGTTACAACCGAATATTTCTTCTAAATTGGGGTTCATTTTTTATAGGGAATCATAAAATTAAGTTTCTATGAGTTATATTTACATTTATGGTAAAATGTTATTATGTAATTGATTATGAATACTTATTTATTTATTTTTTTAAGATTTAACATAACAATTCATTTATATCAATAAAATTATGATTATGCATTATGATTTAAATTTTCCGCATTTGATAATATTATAATTATTTTTTAGTATATTAAAAAAAAATAGAGTAATTCTCATATAGCAATAAGTTTGGATATTAGCATATTAATGATTCAATAACATACTTTATATTGACCAATTACAAAATTTTATTTAATGACAAATTCTGCCTTTCACTGGTGTTGATTTAGCTTTCTTTCTATATATTTTTGAGCTTTCAAAGTCGTGGGACTTGGCACTGGCAAAATCCGGTAGTGAATTTCACTAAATATCCTGAATCGACAAAATTAAAACACCGAAATTAGTTGTGAATAAATTCATTCGTAGTTGATATGTGAGATTGAGGCAAAGTAGCGACTATTACTCAAATGTGGCAAAATGATTCGTACATTTTTAAGATCGATTCACGGGATATTTACTTTTTATTTGAGCGTGCTCCCCAAAATTTCGAATAAATAAATGAATTATATGAATATTATTTAACAATTATCTACCGATACAATTTCGATGCAGACAAAGGTAGTCCGATTTGGAATTTGAACGCTGAATAATGAATAGTCTCACAAAAAATAATAAATTGATCTACTTACCCTATAAAAAAAATGTCAGAAAAATGTCCAGAAAATGTCCGGGCGTCCGGAAAATGTCCGGAAAATTGCAATATTCCGGACGCAGAGACATTGTGAATTCCGGAAAATGCCCGGAAAATGTCTAGGAGGGTTCGGGCCTGGTTCCAGAAAGTGACCGGAATATTACAATTTTCCATAGGGGCTTAGAGGCTTGTCAAATATAATATGGAGAAGTTCATTTTAATTTTATTTTAATTCGTACATTCGCATTTTCATATGAATAAATAATGTTAGCAAAAAGAATGTATAATACTAAAATTGTCTATCATTCTAGTATAACTCATTTGCTGTTTATTAAGACTAACCAGCCAATAATTTAATAGAAAAAAAATCTATACTAAAAAGATAGCCACACTTGTATAAAATAAATTAATTTCGAAAGAACCATTTTTCGAATTTGGAATGTGTCATATCTCTGTATGGCGTGGGAAGATCTTGGTAAGTTTTTTGTTTATGTTTTACATGCAAATGATTATATAATGGATGTATTTCCGATAAATATTAAAATCCAAAAAAAAAACATTTCTTTCACTTTTTTGTCAATATGAATGCATGATGTTTTAATAGATTTAACTTTATTGAGATGAATTTTTTTATGAATGATTGATTGTACAGAAAAACAATTAGATACTAATTTAATGGATATTCGGGGTACTGGGTAATGAATTAGCAGATAATATAGATCCTCAGTGCGATACAATATTAATTTAGACATAATTTTACATTTATGATACAATCAGATTATTGATAAAAACATCGGAAAATTTATTGATCACATTTGTGCCTGTCATAGAAGCAAACTGGAGATATAATAGGATTAGGATTAATAGAGATATCTTCAACTGTTTCAAATTGATTGAAGATACATGATTCAACTGCACGTCAAGCAACTGAAGCAAGGATAACAGCATATTCATTAACTGAAGCTTTTAAATTGAATCAGAAGTTCCTACAGTCCTATCTACATTAGAAATTATGAAAAAATGATATTATCACTTATGCGGAGACGTCAAATGCAAATACTGTGACAGTTAAATGAATTCTTTGATCACTTTTTTAGTTGTACTAATCTCACAAACGCATGTGGCAAGTTAACAACAAACACGGCCAGAATGCTTCAATATAACTTAAACAATCAACAAATTCGATCTTTATTAAAATATTTATTTGACATTTGGAGATAATTGTAATATATATGTATATAGATGAAAATATTGGCTACACTCTCCAATCTGCAAACATTATTTGGTTGACGCTTGACACAATTTATTGTAAATTATTAATCGAAAACTTTTTCCTGATCTCATAATTTTAATATAATCAACAAGAAACTTGTCAAAGTAACTATAAATTATATAAAAAAGGAACACAAAAATATTTTACCAACAAATAATAATGACTTGATAGGTTAACTTTTTAAAAAACAAGTTACAAAATAATGTTACAAATATAAAAGGAAATAGACAGGGGTAGTTTAATTCAAGAAAAGAAACCCTATAAAAAAAGAAAATTCGGAATTTGTCCTGAAAAGTATGGAAAATGTCCGGAAATTTTCCGTGTATCCGGAAAACATTCGGAAACGGTCATGTTTTGGAACATTTTCCGGACGCTCGATTCTGGACAAATTCCGGACAAATTCTGGAGTGTCAAGAAAATGTCTGGAATTTGTGCGTCTGGAAAATGTTCCAAAACGTGACTGTTTCCGAATGTTTTCCGGACGCACGGAAAATTTCCGGACATTTTCCATACTTTTCAGGACAAATTCCGAATTTTCTTTTTTTATAGGGAAATTATCGTAGTGACGTAAGTGGATGAGGAATTTCATGGGTTAATGTACAATGTACAGTAAATTGTCCTTATCCAGAAATACAGAATATTCCGGTTTTTGTGACGGCAATAAAAAACCGTCAATAGCACGTCACTGACAAAGATCATATGGGGATAAGCACAGCAAAACAAGGGGATAGCCTCAAAAAAAAATTTCTTAAGTTTATATGATAATTATGCTCCAATTTATCCAAAAATTACAGTTGTAATGAAGTCTCAAAAAAAAATTTTTAAATCCTATCCCCTTGTTTTGCTGTGCGTGTCCCCATATGTAAAGTCAACAAATATTTTTTACAGCCAAAGTCTGCCGAAATTAGCAGAATTACAAAACAAATGAGCAGAATATGCACCGAAATAATAATTCAGGGCCGCAGAAGCAGGACAGAAACTGTCGGCAGATCATAAAATTTCACCGCAAAATTCATCATCTCTGCGTCTAACGATGATGTTATATAGTCTATATTATTAGTCATCATATATAAACTTTTAAAACTTTTTTTTTTAAAAAAAAAATTTTATCCTTTTTCTTTTAAAAAAAATTTTATCTTTTTCTTTAAAACAAATTTTTATCCTTTTTCTTTAAAATAATTTCAGTATGAATAGTGATAATAACCAAAAGTCTAGTATTGATGCGAATAATATGTGTTTGCGAGTTTTAGTTTTTTGTTACTTTCTGTAAAAAATGGTCAAAAGGGCCTTTACTGTTCAACATGCTTGAATAATCCATTATATTTAATTATATAGATAAACCTTGGAAGTAATTTTTGAAAAAATATGTTCTATGGATAAAAATGTTGCCAAAAGGTTCGATGGTATTGACAAAAAGATTGATGATAAGATTAATGATGTTTACAAAAATATGAGAGGAGAATTTGGAAAAATATATGAAATTATTGCCCGAAATGAAATAGGCAAAAAATACAGGCAACATTATTCTGAAGAATTTAATGTTTACGATTTAAATGGTCTTGTACGTATAATTGCACCAAAGGACCAAATTCTGCCTCAAGAGAATATGGATTACGATAGTCAGGCTTACATTATGGACCACAGAGCTGATAAAATAGCGAGATATATTTACATGAGTGATAAAGAAAAAATACCAAAGAATTTTTATCTTAAGAAATTAATTGCTATTTTTATTTTTGTAACAGAATAATGGTTTAATTGAAAACTTTAAAGATTATGTCAACAAGGCAGAAAAATTATATAACTCTGACAACCATATCGAGCTTTTTTCTTTTGCTAAAGAATCTATAAATATTGCATTAAAGAAAAAAGATAAGAGTCATCAGATTTACTTGGATCAAAAATGGGATGGAGTTTTTCTAAAAGCAAATGTATGTGTTATTATTCCCAAAATATGAATGGGTAAGGTAAAAAGACAAATGAGTTTAGGAATTCAAGATCGTTATATTCTAGAAACATAAGAGACAAACAAACTCTGTTCTTTACATACCTAAACTTACTGGCTATAGTTCTTGATCTTTGTAGTACAACACTCACACATATTTTTTTAAACAATATAGGAAGCAAGGTTGGTGACTCATCCAAACAATCTTTTTTAATACACCAATAAAGTATCACTATAATGATATTAACCGCCCAAGTAACAGATCTGAATAAGGCATCGAAGAAAGGGTATACCCCTTTTTTAAAGATGATCAATATCGATGTGCGTGGAAAAATTGAAGTAATCGTTACGGGAATTAATGTTATACTTAACCTAGAAATAGGAGAAATTAAAAGATCAGAATCTAATGATATCATTAAGCATGGATTTGTTCAGTTGTGCTGGCGTCTCGCTGTTATTGGTTACGCTTTAGATATTTTATTTCCCAACATAAAATGCACTCTGGTGGGTAATCTCTTTTCTCCAAGAACCGATAAGAAATTCACTCCTGAGTGTGATGATGCTTTCATTTATACGAATAAAGATAAGGGCTTTAATTATTTTATTAGACACATTTTTATATAAGAATGAAAGAAGAGTTGAAACTAAAAAATGGACAAAAGCATTTGAATAGCAAGAAGGACGTTTTTAATACTAGACATTTTTTTTTTATTAATTTGTAGACTATGCTAATTATATTGTTTATTTAATATTATTTTAATAAAAAGATTTGACTTATGCATTGCAATATATACACAATACATCGTAGAAATTTAAGCTACATCAAATTTTTTTTTTTTAATAAAAAAAGACAACTCAGATTACATTATTTTGCATTATCACGTGATCTATCAGTAAAAAATAATTTTTAAGGATGATACTCTATCGGAAGCTATAGAAGATTCTTTGGTAACCCCAAGAAGATAACGTCTGAGCCTGTTTATTATTTGTTAACAACGGTTTGCGTTTTTGTATTGTTGATTATTATCGAGATATTTCTTTCAAAAACGAATCATATACTATATTAATTATTAGAAGCTACCCCAGAGTCCCAGACCTTTTTACACCTTATTAGTCACAAATATATAGTTATTATTGTCACATTGTGTTTTGTTTCTCTGTGTATATGGTTGCAAAACTGATTGTATATATTTATCACGCATTATTTTTTTTTGAGTAATTGCTTACATCTTTAGATATCAATTAACAACAGCTAGTGCTACTATTTTGTTCTTAAAGAATATTTGTCGATAGATCACTTTTATAATAATTGTGACATCATCAAATCAAGAAAAAACGAAATCGACAATAAAATTCATATTTTTTATCAACGAATGCGCTAATTTCAATAGTGTTTTCGATATAGAAACTTTCTTAGGCGATTTTTAATGGATAAGAATACTACTAGTGAGTAAAATAATATTTGGAAAAGATAATAGATAACGAATGATAAGTCATTTTTACTGTATTGTATATGAGTTGGATGTCATCTAACCATGTTCTTATATACCCGAAGATATAATATATCGATCACATCCTCCAGGCATCAATATTATATCATCGTTTTTAATCAGAATTATCATTACTGAGTATTAAGAATTCCGCAGATAAGACCAATTGCTAACAAGGTAAAAGAGAACGTAATTTTTGACATCGCATTTGTCCTACGAAAAAGGAAACAACTGCTCATACTCATGTGGGCGATGTTTTTGAAAGATATATTCTACAGGAATTAGTATCCGCAGATGTTGAAAATTTACTTCGTAAGCTTCTCTTATATTGTCATGTGATAGTTTCATTAATTAATGGTCTAGATGAGTAATTATCCACGAGCACAAAGGAGGGCACATGTTAGTACATTACACGTGTAGTATTAATGATAAGAAATCGAATGAATAAGGAAACAGTAATAGTTTTTTAGTAATCGAAAACTTAAGAAATTATTACTCCAAAGGATACGTATTAGATAGAGGCTGAATTTTGTGGTATTCCATTGTGCAATGATTGCAGTGCACTCTCCAACTATGGTGGTTTCTGATGAAGTGTCCGACAGATTCTGATCATCTCCTCCGGAAATTGTTTTTGGTGCGGAGAATATTTTTCTGGGACGGGCCTCTCGGAAATTACAGTCACGTGATTTAACACTAGTTCATTAATTACTTATTTGTCGCGTACCGTAGTCAACAAAAATTAGTTCTAAGGCGCAGTAGACAATTAAGCAAAGTGATATGTGAAGAATATCCGGAAAGAGCGACAGTGTGACCCACGGGTCACGATCTCAAATAAATACAAAAAACAAATGAGGTTGTGCGATTACTGTACAGACATTAATGAAATCGTGTTTTACTCGCATATGTGTTCTGTACTATTATTATTTTCGTAACATGAGGTACAACGATTTATGAGAAAAAACTTTTACTTGTAATTTGTGAAATAAAAATGTTCCCATGTATTAACTGACATAAGAGTATTATTGGCGATGATTTCAAGTGTTAATCTTTAGTGAAAACATACGCTAAAAAAATATTACGAAAAATATAGGGATACATTACATTTGTCGAAAGTGTGCGACTGCTTACTACCCCAGAACTCACCAATCCAATTCTTAGAATCATTGTTAACAATTTCTGATGAACGAAGAAATATTTGCTGTGGTCGATAAATATTACGATAACAGGTAATGAATATTATAATAGGTAACAATTAGTATATAATGAGAAAACATCGAACATATAGTAAGAATAAAAATCGGAAAGGAACGCACAGAAAAAAGAACAACTATACTTCGTCGATATCCAGATTGCATTGTCGATCCCCAATTTCGAATATTGCCCAAGGGATGACCTCCACACACCTACTATGATCAAATTACTTTTTTTCTCCCGAATCTTCCCGAGTGTTATTATGTTAATGTACGTAGAACTTTAAAAAAAGAATCAAAATCTTGTGAATTCGTTGGTTAAAATTTAAGCCATGTAATAAAGAAATTTTTTTGCTATCTGTATACGTAGAAGTATGCAAAAATAAAATAATAAAATAAAATAATATCGAGAGTTTTAATTGTAAATATGCACAATTTCTTTGCCATACTTTTAATTATAATTAAAATTGTCCAGGTTCCGTGTATACGTACTGTACTATGTACAGTGTAACGAGAATAAAGAAATACGCCACATATGTATCTCAAACTTTATTCCTTATCGCTCAATCAACGTTACACACCATTATTATCTTCGTTATTGACGCACATTATGTTGCATTTTCATTTTTTTTTATTATTTTTTTCAAGATTGAATCAGGCTATATACACACAGCATGATGCAATATTTTCATTTGATCTTTTTTTCAGTTTGTCTTTTAATTTGAATAAAAAAAATATTTCAAATATGTATTGTTACGAGATGAAAAACAATACAAAGTAGAAATATATTGTCATTTTGTATCAGTAATAGTTAATAATGCGTCTGATCATAAGAATGCAGCGTGTTAAAAGCAAAAGTAAAAAAATATAATGTTGTGCATCACAACCTGACTTACGAGCTTAATATTGTTTCATACAATAAATTTTTATTATTTGGTAACTATCTAGGTTGCGAAGAACAATGAACTATCATTGCTGTATAGTTCAAAATTTCGAATTGCAAATTTGAATAAAATTTACTGATCCGAAATCTCTTAACGACGGCACGACGCATACCGTATATTTCCGTCGCTAATTGTATATGAATTCTAGTCAAAATCGGAATAATGCGGGTCAGGAAACAGTCAGATAGTAATATCCACGTGATCATAAGCAGGAATAAGCATTTATATTGTAATGTATAGATTTTAACATCAACAGACCATTGAAATTATTAACCATCTTAAAGAATTCGACAAGTCGTTCGTTTTTTAAGAAACTCTTCGATTTTGTAATTTAGTTTCTTTATACAAGTAGTCCCAAGGTATTCAGTTTACAATACAATTTATGAGTGATAGATTTAAGTTACTATTATCTGTATAAATGAAGAATTTAAATTCTTAAATTAAGAACAATTATCAATAAAAAGCTATTTATATTTCTCTGTGGAAAAAATGTAAAAATGGCTTATAGAACTACGAAATAAAAGTTACGGGCAAGAAATGGCTTTGTCATCGAGTCACGAGCTGAATATTTTTGGTAATTCATTCTCATAATTATGTTGATTAGTAATTAATTATGGTTTTTCCCTCAAAAATTAATTTCGTATATATCAAAATAAAATAAAAATACAATTTCTATCTATACGAATTTCAAAAACAATAGTTTAGGAGAAGTTCCGTGCTCTATTTTTCATTTTTATCAAAATAACAATTTAAGTATTCTAAATAATAAGTATATAAGCTACTAGTATTGTATATGTGGCTTAGTATATTCAAGTAATACATCATTATTATGTACATTTATAGATTTATTTTTTATCGGGTGCTCCAGTTAGGGAAATAAAATAATGAGATGAGGGTAATCCGACAATATAGTTGGGGTCTGTTATGCAGATATCATAAGATTTGCTCTATTACGCCGAAAAAAAAACAAATAAATATAATTGGCCCAATTATTTGCATGAATCAAAAACGTGATGATTTTAAGTGCTATTTCATATGGGTTCATTTTATGGGACACGTAAAAGGTTCATAATATCTTTAAATACTGTTGCATCATTTTATTTTCCTTTTAGATAAATATAAAAAAGATCCTCGTTCAAATGTTTATAAAAATAGCATCTTATTAGAAATATAGCCCGTTCTCATTCTTGTTAAAAAAAATTTTTTAAAGCATAAAAAAGCAAATAAAAGAAACAAAACACCCCGACTGACCTCCGGGTCTCGGGATCTCATCATAATAATAAGACTTTTACATACGGTAATTGTTCAGATTGTAAATTAGTCAACGAACTGCCGTTGCGTGATGCAAAATTGCGATATTGTAAATTTGTAATAGCACAGACTACTTTGAGTGGATTGATTTCGACTTATTGAATATACTAATAAACGAGGCACTTTCGACTATAAAGGTTCAAATTAGCTCGTAATGTCACATTAAGATCATCCTAAAGCGATTTTAGATACACTCAGAATATAAATCAAAAATTCGTAAATCAAGTAAGTATGAAATAAAAACGCCACCACTTCAAATTTTTTATGAATTAATTTTATTAATACTTTTTAACAAAAATGTTACATAGTTATTTCAATTTACGCATAACTAAATTGTGTTGAGTCTTAGAGATATTATGAATATGGATCTTGGTCGCTCGGGGTAATCTGGTCCGATCGCGTAAATGTTATACTTGATTGACTTATATAATGTTGCAATGTTATATGCTAACTCATTCAATGTTAATTGTAAATTTTCCTGGTTAAAAATTTCTTCAAAAATTATTTTACACCAATGTAAAGATTTCGGAAAGGACGGTTCGAATTCCTCTTAAAAAAATTTTTCGTAGTTACGTAGATTCGAAGTATTTACAATGATATTAGCCTCTTATCTTTACGAATGTTAGGGTCTAATCAATTTGACTTGCCGAAGAGATTAGTTTTCGCTCTACTATGTTATGTACTAATATTATAAATATCTATTTGATTACAAATTTTTGGTTTATATTCTGAGAATTATCTAATCGTTTTAGGATAACCTTTAATGAAACCGTTATGAGTTCTTTGATGCATGACCGAATTGGCCGATGTTTTCACTTTTTAGTAGTATTTCTGCAATGTTTGGGATATTTGAGCCGAAACAGTATGTAATAGATCCGTTGGATTTGTTGGATTTATAAATCAATTTTTGATATTGTCGAAGAAATTAAATTCTGGATCTTGAAGCGTTAGATTTAAAAATTTCATTCCTTTATTCCTTTTCCAAATTCTTTTTTTTTAAATCTTAATTAATATTTAATCCAACATATATAATAAATACAATAATATATCTTTTGCGTATTGATATGTAATTAATTATGCATGACTTCAATTCTCAACACTTTAAGAATTTTCGTTTACTTCAAAAATTTATTACATTATATATTTCTAAGACTGATTTAACGGAAGGTTCAGCACTAATATTATTTAAAAAACGGAAGATAATTATTAATACAAATAAATCAGTTTGTCTCATCTATTTTTTGTATCAATATTGACAAAGATTATATAAACTCTAATCTATTTTATTAAAATAGGAACGGCTAAACTTTATTTTGAAATGATACATAGTACAAACTTAAAGGTTTGTTGATGTATTCATGTAACAAACCTCCTAATAATATTATTCTTTTTATAATACATTTATTCATGTTGATATAATAATATATAATATAGATTGTCTAATGTAATTACAAACTATAATAATTTACAACCTTGTCGGACCTTTTCCTAAATGGCGTTTTCCTGAATATACCATTTCTCAGTCAATTTTCCGAGAATCCCCAATATTCGAATCCTTTATAAAAAGAAATATTCAAGTTCTTCTGATGCAAATTCTTCAGATAAGAGAAAGCAAATTAATTTCGGCAATAATAAGAGGACCCCGGAAAAGTCTCATGTAGGTAACGATTGGTAACGTGTAGAAGTTCGTAGAATAATCACGTAGATCCTTCCTTATATGGATAATTTTTGATAATTCTAGTCAGGAAATTATTTCCTTCTTTAGACACCAGCCGGAATTATTGTAATTTCGGCCCTGAACGAGATCTTAGAGCTAATAATAAATTTTTTTTTTGCCCATTCCTGGGTCCTGCAATAAGTAATTCTACACCAAATTTTTAATTATCAACTCATCCGTTTACTTTGCTTTAGGTGGATGGGTTGAAAAATTTCTTTATTAACTAATTTTCTACACATGACGTAAATATTTCAGTTTTTGTGATACGTCTATTGATAGAATTAATTCGCGAAACGTTATAGCTAATTTCATAATATACGGGGAAAAATTAGCTGAAAATTATAAACACGTGACATAGAATCTTAAAAAAAAACTATTCAAACGGAAATTTCGGAAAAATCACCATTCGCGCTATTAGGAAACCTTCGATAAAATTTCGGTTAGCTAAAATAATAGGAAGTTCACTTAGTAGTTAGTGTTACGCGCATGTTATAAAATGAATAGTGTGTCAATCCGTTAACCATTTTATCGGATATCCGTTAGGACAGTGACATATATTAACTAATATTAGTTCTATAAGAAGCTTTATCCCCCACCAGATCTTTTTTAACCAATTATTCAATTTATACATATACTAATTTTAACCAATAAAAATGTTAAATTTTGTGTTACGTAAGATTCTGCTTAATCCCACCCCCTAAAATATTATCCAATCCGAATTTATCCGGATATTCGTTTACTATTGATATCGGCGGATTATCCGGATATCCGATCTGATTATCCGATCTGAATTTATCCGGATCCCGGATTGAAACATTCACAACCATTTTTCAAATTAGTCAGTTTCAACGAAGCTTCTTCAATTTATAATTATGAACCAATAAACTTTGTCACAATCATGGTCATAAACGTACTATTTAATGCTGTTGAAATTTAAATTGAGATATATCACTCAATACAGTGTTGGACTATCCGTTCAATTTGACATTTGGGACGATGCGGACATTATCTAATTGGATTTGGACGTGCATATATCCAATTATCCAATTGGATGTCTAATGTTCAATTATATAAATTGATATTATTCAAATGATAACCAATTATCTGTTTACTTCAATTTCTTATTTTGTTAATCATAATACGAAATTATCAAATTATCATTAATATCAAGGAAAAATTTTCTTTCCTTTTTATGATGGTATATGACAAATTTTGATGAGAAAAACAATATAATATCCCGTATTTATTTAAGATATTACTTATGCCACTTTATTTTTTATATAAAAAAAAAATGCAATATTTAAATAAAATGAATAATATATATATATATTTAATTTAATCTGAGATAATAAATCACACTATTTGATTATTGCGAAATAAATAAGTTGTATCAAATTTGGATATAAAAACAATTTTTCGCATTTTACACAAAAAAAAAAGTCAATAGCTTATCATCGGTGAGCTTTAATAATTTCCAATTGTAAAAAAAAAAAAAAAAAAAATTTTAAGTACTATTATCTATAAAAAAAAATATGACGAGATTATGTTAAAATTATGTTTGTTACACCATCTACGTATAAAATAAAAAAATTATAAATTAAATGTTTATCAAATTTTATAATATAGGATAAAGCCCAGCATAAGGACCAAATATAAGAGGTATCTTATTTTGAGCGAAATTGCTAAATTGCTGTAAATGTATAAAATTAAAAATTACATGTATGGCAGATATTTCTTTAAATTAACGTGAATACGCGATATGTAATATGTATTTTCACAAACTTTTTATTTTCTTTACTCATGAATCATGGAAAAAATAGTTCGAGAAAAGGTAAAAGACCAGTTTCTGATGAAAACGAGGAAATTATGGTTTCCTCAGACAAACAATTGATAAAAAGATAATCCTATCAAAAATTCAAAAAATACAAAACCCTTTTCAGAAATCTGAGAATATTATGAAAAAGGAGCGCAAAAGAATATTTTTATTGCAAGACTAATGGTCAAGAGGAAAACCACGAAAAATGGAAGTGCAACTGGCTAACCGGCAAACAATCTATACTACCACTTAATTCACCCAAATGTGTTGTTAACTGAAGGAGATTTGCATAATTTGAATTAGATAATTTAAGTTAGTTTATTTTTTTAATCGAAAGTATTATAAAAAAAAATATTACACAAAGTTTGATCTATCAAAGAACGATGTACGGCATACGACATATTGCGGCATACAATATGGTATACAACACATGATACAGCATATGTCATATAATAACGTCAAATAATAACGTCAAATACGATTATTACATTACTACCCCATACATATAAGCGGCAAAAACATCTAAAAGTAACCTACATGATGTAATGACGTATTAGGTACTACAACCCCAGCTACAAGGTGTACTCATTACTCTCAAAATTATATACATAATTGGATTAATAAATTCCTGTAACAAATGACGGAAATTTCGGCTTTTTTATTGACAGGTCTGTCAAATGTCTGCAATTTTAGTATCGATTGAATCAATGTAAACCCCTGAGAAAATGTCTATGTATAGAATTAAAATCTGTTTATATTGTTCATGACATATTCGTAATTCCTCTCCAACAAAGAACCATAATTTATGCACCACTTGTAATACAAATCGGCTAAATTTTTTTTAAGTAGCCTAACTAAAATAGGATTATCTGTTTGACTTACTCAAGTCCGGGTAAAATTAATAAAATTAACGAATGATTTTTGGCCCGCATCAACTAAAGAATTCTTGACTCAACCTGACTCATTCAACTATTTCCATTTTTATCTCCATTTAACTATGTCTTTGTTGCAATCACTGTCTCAGCTCAATTTTACAAAGGTTTTTTAAGACAAAGAATTTTTTATTTTTTTTTTGTTGTGTTTTGTATTGTAGTCAATATCATTACTTTTTTGTCACAAGTGAACAAATGCATGTTGAAAGATCTCATTGTTTAGAGCAAATACTTTTCAATGCAAACCGTTCATGTGTTTATTTGGCAGAATTAATTTAATAAAAGAAAAATATATATACTTATTAGGTTATATTTTTAGAAAAAATTAACGTATATATATATATATACAGTATATATTAATACATAAAAATAAAAATAAATTTGATATTAAAAATAATCCCGACTAAGCCTCATTATTATAATTTAAATTCAACCGGATATTTCAAAGTCATTAATTAGTTTGCAACTGTCATGTATATTACAACTAGTTTACTTGATATCACGTCATCAAATAAATCAACTTTAGGCAACACCTTATATTTTGTATATTATGTATTATGTATTATGTATGTTATTTTTCCATTCATTATGTTTGCTTAGGATACCAGAGGAAAGTCTTGAATATAATGTACATTTTTTTTTTAAAACAAAATAATAGATTTGCTAAAAATAACAAATCTAAGCTTTATGAAAAATAATAAATAAATAAATAAATATACTGTACATATTTTTCGATCGACCTATTTAGCGAAATTTCTTGTTGATGTTACACCAACCATTATTAAGCATTTCTAATTATAAAATCCTGAGCGATAATAAAAAACGATGAAAGTAAAACAAAGAAAATAATTTTTGTATTATAATTTGAAACTGAATAACTCCAACGCGGTCTTATTTCTTTTAAAATTGGTATAATTAATTAATTTATTATACGTAATTTTATGCATTAATCTAATTTAGTTTATATCATTTACCATATACGCATTAAACCAATTTAGTTAAAGTACATTATTTTAAAGTTTGTCATTTAACAATGTCCAAATATGATTACATTTAATTATAAGCCATAAATTACGCAAAAAGTCTCATATCAGCTATAAAAAAATAATAAATAATACACCGATATTTCAAAAAAAAAAAATAAGTCTGAAAAAAATTTAATGACAGAAAAAATTTTCTAATTTCGTTTAGTTCTTTCAAATGATACAATTCTACGTTTCTGATCTAATTAAACTTTAATTTTTAGTTAATGACTAACACTACCATGAACCCTCATGACGTTATGTCCCGCGAATCACGTGATCCCTTTAACGTTGCTCAGCTGTCAATTTTAAGCTACTTAAAGTTTTATCATTTCTCACCAAATGATAACAATTTTTATCTTGTAACTTGTACAATCATCCCGCAAGATTCTTCTTTTGATGATCAAGGTCGTCATAATCACGAATTCTTTTACCAGCATCCAAATGATTCTTCTACAGAATATTACGTCACGTGTAACTTACTTTCACACTCTTTAGTAGAAAATATTTTAAATGGATTTCGTGGATTAGAATTTGATTTCGAATCATTATCTATATATCAAAAACTCAATCTTGAACAAACCCTGAAACAAAAACTAAAAAAGCTTTTCTGTCAACACTATGATAGAAACGCAACATTTCATGATAATATTGGGAATCATTTAATTACAACACAACCCGTTCCAATGGCAAATATTCAAAATTATAATAATGATAGTATTACTCAACATGGGTTGGGTGATACTTATTATAATACCACTAATACCACTGCTGCTCATCCACAGCAACAAATTGATTTTAATAATTTTTCGTATAATTTCACAAATCGTTCAATTTAAAGTTTATATAAGAAAAATTCGGCAAAATTTCACGTATATCATTCGCAATCAATTTAAATTTTTTTAGGCAAAATCAGTTTTATTAGAGTTTTTATCATTTCGGTTTAGCATTCAATTCATAAATATAGAATATATAGAATCGTAGTAAATTAAGAAAAAAATTGGCATTGAATAACGCTTAATTCCATTTTAACGCCGGTCGTCACAATCGGAAATTTATTTATTCCCTTAATTCGTTTTTTTTTTTATATTATCATTCGTTCGCGAGGAAATCACAAACTTTATCTTTTTTTTATAATTATCATTGATCGAGTGTTGTTATGAACTTATCATTTAAGAATTTTTATCGCAAAATGATCTTTTTTAATAATTAACATTAATCGAGTGTTGTTATAAGCTTGTCATTTAAGAATTTTTATCGCAAAATAAATAACTCAATCGTTTTATCATAACTGAACGAATAAAAATAAAAATAAAATATATTTAAATCTCCTATTAATTTAAATTATATTTCGGTAAAATCACGCGTTTTGATGTTATTAATAGATCCTTTTTTTAAATGAACTAAAAGTTGAGTATTATGGCTTGATATATTTATTAAACGTAAATTAGAATTAAAATTGTAAAACCTATTTCTATTACTCTATTTACAAAGTGTGCATTTAAAATTACGCGTTTTCTACATCTGAAAATGAAAATCGGTGTGATATTCTAATAGTGAGTATGTTCTAGCCTAAGCTTCAAATTTAAAAGGCTTCGATGAAAATCCGTTTTCATTTTCTGTATTAATTTTAACTATCACATGATGCATAAGTGAGAATTTCATGATTAAAAGAAAGTTTAAACCGATAATAAATTTTGTGAAGTAAATTAATTAGGAAAACGGGAGTCCGTCGCAACTTAGGAGCCGCAGCATGTGACTGTGGGGTGCGCAGTCAACTAATTAAATCAAAACTATGTATAGTCCTATAATAAAATTTACTATTGAAGATTTTTACGTATTAAGCTATTTTATAGTATAATTTAAACTATTTTATAATAAATTTATTATTAATAAAACTATATTTTCTTTCTTTAGTAACTCTGGATCTTTCTTAACGTTTTCATTTCAAACTTTGCGAAATTACTCCAAATATCTGTCTCTTTCACGAAATAGATCTTTTTTTTTTTTTAAAAAAAAAGTCATTAAATCTTCGAAATTAATAAATTAAATTTTCTAACCATAATAAAACTTTTTTATCGTAAGTTTTGAAAAAAAGAGGTATTTTATGTTTCTTGAAGATATCATGTATCTATTTAACTTTACGGTGTTTAAAATTTAATAACTTACGCTTTATTAGCATTTAAGTAAAGATTTCGGATAATTTAGTGGGAAAATGACTCGCCCTTCAAAACAAGCCCGCCACTTGAAAAAAGCACGAGAAATAGAAGCCCAAAAATTAAATATGAAGAGAAATGACAAAAAAAGAAAAATTGATGAGATTATAAACAAAATGGATGAACAAAACTTGATAATACTTTAGATCTAATAACAAAACTGACAGAATCAAGCAAAGAACGAATTAACTTAATTTCTTCGATTCAAGAATTATCTGAAGAAGAGGTTCCAACAGCAAATCATCTCATTAAAACCATGCGTTATCCTAAAGGTCCAAATGAAGGAAAACTTATTTCTCCCTACCTTCAAAATAAGGCATATGAATATATGTCACAAAGTCTTTACAAGCGGCAATTTTCAGTTAGTAATTCATTACAAGAAATAAATAACGCGATGAAACCAAAATTAAGCAACTCCAGCGACAAAATGATAATCTTATTAATAAAGAAAAAAGTTTTTCATTAGCATAGGGGTTTAACGAGTTAGATAATACAGGTACACGGGATAACCCATCTTCTTAAATTCTTAATTGCTCTTATCTGAGTTCGCATAGTCCTAATAATCTGAACATTAATAAACTTCTAACTATTACTTAAGGGTTACATTATTAGATTAAATTTATAAAATATACGCGGTTAAAAAATGTATAATAAGTTAAAAGAATAATAAATCGGTTTAATCAGCTTGTACAAAAATTATAAACAAATTATTTATAAAAAAAAAAAAAATTTTCTTAATCAGTTACAAATATTAAAAACAAATTATATAAAAAAATAATAATTCGATAATTTTTTCCAAAAGTATCATGATTAAAAGAAAGTTCACGCGGTAATACTCATAATTGACTAATAATTGCATGATAGTACAATTTGTTTGGTAGAAATCAACGCTTTGGGCGAAGTAAAAAAATATAATAATATAGTATATACCGTATTTAAAAAGAACATTTCCAAGAAAGATAAATTATTTTTTTTTTATAATTTGCTAAAAATTGTATTGAATATTGAATAAATTCATACTATACTGTTTGTAATGTGATTATTACCACGCAATATGACTAACATAATGTTTTCTACAAATTTTATAATTAGGTTTGGTTATGCAACAATGATTTTTGTGATTAGAATTTTCACATGTTTTTCTGGTTTTTTTTTCCAGAAAACTATTAATGAATTCAATGATAAATTCGGAGTATTTGCATAGTTTTGAGTGGGATGAGTGGGATCTGTTGAATTTATTGGCGTTATCGTTCTACATTGTGACAATTGCTATAGGACGTTCAATAATTTGTTATCGTTGGTATACGTTAAACGGTTTTCGAAGAGTGGGATACTATGGATTATACATTTGGTAGTTTTAAGAACTATGTTTATTTTTCTTACCTACATATGTTAGGGAGTTGAAGTATGTCCCATCAGTATCCTATCCATATCATATTATCATATCCACTCATATCACATACACACACATCATATCCACATATATATAAACTGTAAAAAAAAATATCCAGATCAAATTTCTAAATTTACTTCTGTATCACGAGATCATTGTCATAGATATTGCGATCGTTAATTTTTTTTTTAAAAAAAAATATTTAATAAAAAAAAACTTTCAAATCCTGTAAATAATAAATAAATAAAATCCCTTTTAGTTAAAATTATTTTTACTGAATTATCCGAATAAAAAACAATTAATTTTTTTTTATTTATATTATTAATAAGATTTTTTAAAAAAAATTGACAACCTGATAAATTTTCATCATTTAAAAATTTTTAATTTTAATCATATGAAAAAGATTATTAATTTTTTATGTTAGGGTAAATTTCTTAAGATTGTAAATTGCTGTGATACATTAATATCTTGCTTCTCTAAATTATGAAGAAGAATATGCAATTACAAGCTCAATAACTAGCCCACGTGACATTTTTTCTACCCAAGATATGAAATTATACGTTATACATACGTTTAAATACTATGTGGGGATTGGAAATTTAATAGTAAAATTCAATCCATTGGATCAACTCAATCTATTCCAAATCGGATTTTTAATTTGTGAATCTGATTGAGACGTCAACTCAATCCAATCCCAAGAATGCACCCATAGGATTGAATTTATTATTTAATTTCTAATCAAGGCTATACCTCACAATTGGCAGCGCAATACTGTATGTTTATCACACTCTACCACCATAATCATCATTTCACATGTTGCATATATAATTATGAATACTTTCGTGTGATTACTCAGCAAATCCAACTGATAATATCACGTGACCGAGAAATTAACAACATGGAATTCACAACCACTGTATAGTATTAATTTTATTATACATTCAAATAGAAAAGAAACATACATCTAGCTATGTATTAAAAAATTTTAACCATTATTAACATTTCTGAAATAGTATTATGGATAAAACCTTATGAAACTACCTTCTTTTATCGATGCATTAAAGTTAATTAACTCTACAAATGCCGAACATATAAATATAATTTTGGATTATTAAAATTAATTTATTTGCCCCTTCATTTCATTATAAATTATAACATTCCAATTATTACTTCACAAAAATATGAGATATTTTGTATTTAGATTAAAAGGAAAAAAAAATAAAATGGTTTTAGTAAAAATTTTTTTGAATAAATAATGCTTAAGAATTTTTTGATATAACTTAGAATTTGCAATTAGTTTTTCTGAATAAACTTTATTTTTATTATGCTTCTTTATTTAAAGACAGAAGCTCTGGCTTTCTAATAGACATTTTTAAGCAGATTTTTGAAAAATATTGAAAGATTTTTCTAGTAACGAATTAAAAACACAATTTTTTTTGCCATATGCGAGATGACGTACTAATTATACTGGACCCTTAACTGTCGGTAAGTTTGTTTGTCGAGGCGATTTTCGGTGAAATAAATGCATCCCTGGATAAGCTTAGAGTTGATTTTAATATATAAAAATATATTATTGGATGGGGAGTATTTGAGCTTCATGTTTTTTATTTCTTATAGTTTTCGTAATTAGTACGAAATTAAAATTCTGTCCAATATCAACAGCAATGCACAAAATACTATTATGTATTTTTCCACGAGCCTTTTTTAGAAAGCACTCCGTCAGTTAAACTTCATTGGATGTAATCTTAGATAATGATTATTAAACATTTATGTCAGTTTAGTGTAGCGAAGTAGGTAAATCTTACCACATGATTTTGTCACAAGATCACGTGATGGAAGTGGTCGCATTGTTTATATTTATCTCTGCGACTTTTTTTTGTGGTCTGATCTCTATTTGTCGCTTGCATAAAATGTCACATACTTTATGTGGCGTGATAATGATAATCCTGAGATGTCAAACCGAATTGACATTTTTAAGCCCCCATTGAAAATCTATACTTAAATAGTACTATAATAAGGAATTATTTTTGAATTAATTTACATATAGAGACTCATTTTTAATGTAGGATAATATTAAAGTAATAATACATTAATTAAATGAAAATTTTCAAATTTAGTAATGATATAGGTTTTAATTAATAATTTTTACGTTTGTATTATTACATGTATTGTTTAAAAAGTACTTTAATATTTAGAAAAAATTTGATTTGTTATATTTGCTTGAAAAGTATTTTTTCTTTGTTTCTTTTACTCAAAGAAAAAAAAAGGAACACCCAATTATACAACAATACTAATAGCGTTGCTGATTTGGAAGTGATAACTTACGTAATATGCAATGACTAAAAAAAAAATTCTAAACTTACTAGTATTTGATATCCGTTTTATTTTGTTTCTTAATATGTAAGTAATAATAATGCAATTATTACAAATAAAGTTTCCTATTTGGAGTTGAAATTCCAATAATATAAATACTAATTAAATAGCGTATCACATAAAACAATGAAAAACAAGACAGGGAGGG